GAAACTATACACACAAGAGAATATTGATGAGGAAAGAGTTAAACAATATTTACAGAATGCTAATCTACCTCAGATACCTAAAGAGATTGAAACAATGTTAGAAAGCAATATAACAATGATGGAGTTAATTGAAGCACTCAAGAAGCAAAATAATGGAAAGGCACCAGGCCCAGATGGACTTCTGGCAGAATTTTATAAAACATTACAAGAATCGCTGAATCTTCCATTGCTAGAAGTTATGAATGAAGTTGTGTTAAAGAAGAGGATACCTAAATCATGGTCAGAAGCTTATATTACACTTGCCCCAAAAGAGGAGGACGATCCATTACAAATCAAGAACTATAGACCTATTTCCTTACTAAATGCAGATTATAAATTTTTTGCTTCAATATTGGCAGAAAGACTTAAAAATACTTAAACAATTTTATCCATCCTGATCAAAATGGATTTCTGCCAAAGAGACAAATTAAAGACAATATGAGAGTAATCTTGGACACCTTGGAATACTACGAGGCACATCCTGAAAAACAAATGGCTTTGATATTTCTAGATGCACAGAAGGCATTTGATAATGTGAATTGGTGATTCATGTTATTACAGCTGGAACAGATGGGCTTTGCAAAACAAATTATTCAAGAAATAGAAGCTATATATCATAAGCAAACAGCAAAGGTAATGATAGAGGGAGAACTGACAGACCCTATCAATATAAGAAAAGGAACAAGACAAGGGTGCCCACTATCACCTCTGTTGTTTGTGTTAACCTTGAAAGTGCTAAACTAAAATATTAGAGATGAAAAGAATACAAAAGGGATGAAAATTAAAAAGGAAGAATTTAAGTTGCAAGCATTGGCAGATGATCTGGTTTTCATTCTAGAAGACCCACTAGAAACAGCATCAAAATTGATAGAAAAGATAGAGACATATGGAAAGGTGGCTGGTTTGAAAATAAATAAAGATAAGACAAAGATCTTGACAAAGAATATGCTATCAAGACAAAAGGAAGAACTGGCAGACTATTGAAAATCCAGGTTACGAATAAGATCAAATATTTGGGGATACATTTGACAGCAAGATGCAGTACACTAAAAGAGAATAATTATATCAAACTTAAGCAGCAGATAGCGCTAGATTTGGCAAAATGGGAAAATTTACAACTGTCATTAATAGGGAGAATATCAACAATCAAGATGAATATATTACCCAGAATTTTATATTTCTTTCAAACAATTCCAATTAGACTTGGAAAAGATTACTTTGAAGATTTAAATAAAATTGTGTTGAAATATATATGGCAAGGTAAGAAAGCGAGAATAAAGTTAAAACTTTTGCAAGATGCTAGAATAAGAGGAGAATTTGGTTTGCCTAATTGGGAGTTGTATTACCAAGCTACAAATCTGATGTGGGTTAAGGAATGGATAACACTAAGAAATACTAGACTGTTGACATTAGAAGGACATGATTTGTTGTTGGGGTGGCATGCTTTTCTATGGTATAAAGGAACTAAAACACAGGGATATTTTAGAAGACATAATATATGGGAGCCTCTGTGGTTAAACTGGGAGAAGACTAAAAGGCAATGTTATTTGAAAATTCCAGTCTGGCTATCGACTATTGAAGCATTTTCTTATCCTATAATATATAAAAAGGAACAAACAGTTAGATATGGTGAAATATTGAATGAAAAGGGTGAACTTAAATCTATACAAACATTAGAGGAACAAGTTATAAAGGTGAATTGGTTTTCATATGCACAAATACATTCAAGGTATGATAAAGCCTCTAAAACAGATAGATAAAACAGATGATAAACTGACTGACTTAGATAAGATTTTGACAGATACTGATGAAAAGGTGATTAAAAAATTGTATGGATATTTGTTAGAAATTAAACTAGAAGAAGAACAAGTTAAAGGAACTATGATTGCTTGGGAGAAGAATTTTGGATATGGGATTGATCTAGAGAAATGGAAAAAATTGTGGTCTAAAAATTATAAAATGACAATGTCAACAGCATATAAAGAAAATTTGTATGTTTTACAGGTGGCATTTTCCCCTGACAAGAATAGCAAGAATGTTCAAGAACAAATCTGAAAAATATTGGAAATGTCATCAGAAACTGGGCTCATATTACCATATGTGGTGGACGTGTGCAGAATCCAAAAGATATTGGACTAAAATCCACACATGGTTGGAAAAAATGACAAAGAAACACATAGACTTGAAACCAGGGATATTTTTATTGGGAATTTTACCTGAAATATACAATAGGGAATTGAAATATTTGATTGTGAATGTATTAACAGTGGCTAGGATTGTATTTGCTAAAAATTGGAAAAATGAGAAAATACCATCACAGGAGGAAATCATTAAATATTGGAATGTGCTCAAGTGAGTAGATTGACATTTGAAATCAGAGAACAAGATGATAAACAATTTTCTAAAATTTGGGATCTATTCTATCAATGGTTAGACAATAAAATATAGTAATGAATTATGTAGCTTCTTAGAAAATAATAAATATATCAAGATGTATTTGTTTCTTATTATATCTAATAAATGATTCCAGGATAGATTTGAGATGATAATATGAGCTGTCATAAAACAAATTAAATAAAATATGATTATTTCGTAAAACATGAATGAGTAAAAATATAGTCAAATGATTGATTAATAATGATATTAATCTATTTAATACTTGATTGAAAATATGAGAATATATACAATGTAATTGTAATTGAAGACTACAAATGGAAGCACAAAACAATTTGTAACGCAACCGGCACACTGTATGTATATTTATGGAAGATGGCTTGATGTTTTTATGTTTTGTTTGCTTATGCTTGTTTTAAAAACCAATAAAAAAAACCAGCAGTGTCTGTAGTAAGAGTGATGACACTAGCAACATCAGTACAGCAATATTATGATGCAAGCGTCACTCCTGTTACATGTACACTAAAATTTCCATTTACACATGAAAAGGTTAGAAGATAACCTTTCATGGCACTGCAAGTTTCTTTTCATCGTATGGGTGGATTTGGTTTCTGCAACTCTTGATGACCTCAGGAGCATTTAGTTCCCCAAATTTTTATTGGTTCTGGGCAACCTCATTTCTTCCTTGTTGGTATTTTAGACTGAACATTTATCATTTTCTTATTCTACAAATCATGCTTAAACACAGTATATACAAAGTCCATTTCTGGGAATAAAGTAGAGAAAGTTTCATTGATAGAAACTTTCAAAAACCGGGCATCTTAGGTAGGGCATAATTCATATTCTTATTTCTCCTGTTATAGATGGATTGAAGAGGAATGAAAAAGTGGAATATAACATAGATAATGCTAAAACTAAATAGGATGGAGTTCTATAAAGAAGTCTCAGATATGTAGACAAGCCAGTTTAGGAATAGGTAAACTACTATAGGAACTGAGAGCCATGTGGGATGGACTTTGTAATACTTGCAATCTAGTGACATATTTTGATTGCTGAATAAATGCAAAGTATGTGTGAGAGAGTGAATGTATATGTCTATGTGAGAGAGAGAGAGAGGAGGGAGGGAGGGAGAGAGACAGGGGAGAGAAAGGGGGGGGGAGAGAGAGTTGGGGTAAACATTCCCAGAGCTGTAAAATATACCTGTGAATTTCTTCAATTTTCAGCTCTCATCCCAGAGTCATGTGCCACTTGGTCAAAATCAGGTCTTGCCATCTCTTGACCATAAAACCAGTTCTACGAAATCATTATGCCACATTCTAATAAAAACCTAGTGCTGGCCTTTTAGCTGAGAGCTTTGACATAGAACCAACTACCAGTAGTCCTTCACTTACAACAGTTTGCTTAATGACTGTTCAAAATTACAATAGCGCTGGAAAAAGGGTATTATGACTATTTTTCCCCCTTATGACCATTACAGAATCCCAATGGTCACATGATTTACGTTTGGATACTTGGCAACTGTTCACAATTATGATGCTTGCAGAGTCCCTGGGTTTGCATTTAATGACCTTTTTCACCAAATTAAGGGCTTATAAAGAAAATCCCGATGCAATTGGAATTACAAACTAGGAAGATTCTTTTTTATATATAAAAAATTTATTTGGGTTTTCACAAAACCTACAATTAAAATATCTTTTTGAGAACAGAATGATTCCAGATTATCACTTCTCTATACAGAAATAAACTCGTTTACATATTCATCTTTTTCTAAATTTCAGTATCTTTCTAATCATTATATTTATACTTTTATCTGTCCTATTTACACTTTCGTATTTTCTTTTCTCATAAAGCAAGAGTTCCCCTTAAGCCCTTAAAACTTGAGTTTATTCAGCAAAGCAGAGCAAAATCATAATTGTAACAGTTAAGTATAATGTATACACAGACGAAGCAAGAAAACAAGACTGCAAAAAGACTGCAAAATACAATAGAACACTATAATTGTATGAGAATATTTCATATCCCTTTAGCAGAAAGCCCATCATCTTCCTCAAAGTAAATTATATGTTACCTAAGATTCAATAATTACATGGTACCCCCAAATATACTTATAGTGAGGCCCCAAATATATGGTAAATCTTCCATTTTGTAAACATTTACCAAAATATTGTGAGAGTGGTGGCAGAGATATCACAAAATAGTGTTATGGCTTTTTGTATATGTTATCAGAAGTTTGGATGAAACTCATTATTTCTCAAAAACATTTCAATAAGGTATTATCCTTGGTGTAGGTCTATCTATCTTCCCTTTCTCAGATTTTGGACCAGGGAACATGCCTTATATCTTCCATTTTGTATTAAGCTGTTAGACTTCTGAAAGCATTTTTGATGTTCTGGTAGAATTAAGCATCATCTTAATTTAATCTCTTGCTTTTTATTTCTCATGGTTATCAAAAGATTGTATGAAACAGTATCTGTTTACACAGCTTATGCACCCTGCCATATGTCTGGACCTGCCAAAGCACTTCTAAAGAAAAGAAACATTCTGAGCTAAAGAATCTGAAAATCAACTCACAATCTCCACAGTTTAGAAAGGACAGATTTGATATTCTTATTTCTCATGCTATAGATTATTGGATTGAACAGGGGTGGGACGAGGGCATATAGAACAGTCAACCCAAAATCTAAGTAAGATGGAGTGTTGGAGGATGGTCTCAGATAGACAAAGCATCCAGTTAATAATAATATAGACACTACTGTAAGATGGGGAATACAAGTGGATAAAGCTTTTTGCCTTCCTTTTTCAGAAGGAATTGTTAACACTGTCTTGAAGATCACTATATAAGAAACAACAATAAAAGTAAAACATCCTAGTCCAGCAATGATACTGACCACTAAAATTCCAACCTCAAGTAGATTTAAGCCAGAACAGGATAGTTTTATCAAGTGTGGAATTTCACAGAAAAATTGGTTGATCACATTAGAACAAAAAATAATTGAAAAGGTGCCAGTGGTGTGGAACATTCCATAGAGGAAACTCGTAATCCACACTATAATTATTATTTCAGTACAGTATTTTGAATTCATCACCATCTCATAATACAATGGATTGCAAATGGCAACATACCGATCATATGCCATAACGGTCAGGAGGCATAATTCCGAGGCTTCAAAAAAAAGAAAGAGAAAGACTTGAGCAATACAACCAAAATAAGAGATATATCTAGTGTCCAAGAGAGAATTTATCATGGATTTGGGGACAATAACTGAAGCAATGCCCAGGTCCTGTAGACCTAAATTCATTAAAAAGAAGTACATTGGGCTGTGCAGTCGATGGTCAAAAGCAACAGCAGAGATGACGAGAAGATTTGTGGTTACAGTTGCCAGATATAGCACAAAGAAGAAGAAGAAATGCAAAAGCTGTAGATGATGATTTTTTGAGAATTCTAGCAGCAGAAAGTAAGGCACTGTGGTTTGGTTCTCCATGTTTTATTTATGACAAAGCTGGCATAACTGCAAATAAACAGAAGGGGGAAATTCAGTTAGATAAAATTTTAGAGGTGCTATTTTGATATGTGATGAGAATAAAAAACATTAAGAAATGTAAAGCACGGGCAGAATGTAATTGGGGGGTGTAGGATGGAGATATTAGAGTACACTCTTGTCATTTATTACCCATCTGTACTAAAGAACCTATTAAAAAGACTAACATGTATAGACATAACATTCTCCCTCGTCGAATGCTAATTAATATAATACAGCAATGTTACTTTTCCATCCCTTAGAAAACAGGCCAAAATAATTTTAAAGTATTATACTAACCTTATTTACAAATTGTAAGTCTGTCATCTATAAATTATATTAATAAGAACACAGGTAACAGAAAAACAATAATAAACATATTAAATAAAAGTTTAATCCCAAATCACCTCAAATATTAACTCTGTTCTTCCCTGATCAAATATCCACATATGTTTCTTTATATCATTTATTATCAATTGCTGATTGATTGAATGCAATAAGTCCAATCTCAAAAACCAATCTCTCTTCCCTCAAAAACAAAAGCGAAAAAAACCAACCAGATAAAACGGAGAGTGGTTTGCTCTCCAAGCTTGTTTCAATTTAGTTGAAATTTAGTTGAAATTCAATTTAGTCATTCGAATTATTATTCATTTGGAGCTATGTTTAAATTCTGAGCAGCTGATAGGTTCTTTTGTTGATTGTTTGTTCAAGTGGTTTGATTTCTTACATATTCATATGCTGGCTTTAGATCAATATGCTTGGATGGGTTTGGATGACAGGAATTGTATTATGAAATTTTTGGGATAGACATTGTCAAGGAAAAATGTCATAATATGATCCTTGTTATCCAAACCCTAACAAAATACACAGCCAACCACAACACAAAAACAAGTCCTGACATATATCAAACGAACATCCAAAATGGCCCCCAGAATACTGTAACCCCTAGGAAAAATAATAGTTCACAAATCAACATTTACACTCACGAAAGAGCTATCTAAAGTCAAAGAAAAAAATACAGAAGGAGGACAACAGCAACATAGTATACAAAATCAATTGCAATTATTGTAACTAATTCTATGTGGGATAAACAGGAAGGCGACTGAAAATAAGGGTTCGTGAACATCAAGTAGCAGTTAAACGGCACGACCAAAAATCCTTTATCTCAAACCACATAGATAATAAATAACACCAATTCAATTGGGAAGGAACAAAAATCATTAGCCATGCTCACAGCCACCACAAACATGAATTTATTGAAGCCTGGTATTGAAGCAATTAACATGTATATTGATCTATACTTGTAGAATAAGTAAGACACCAAACCATTTGAACAACCAATCAACAAGAGAAATAGTCAGCTGCTCAGAATTTAGATATAGCTCCAAGGAGAATAGAACAAGAAAATCCTCCTGGTGATATTGCTTAGTCTGGTAACAAAATGTTCAGAAACTAAATTGAAACAAGTTTGTAGGGCAAGATTGCCAACATTTAAGCCAGAGCTGCAAATACTTGCTATTATTTCATAGATAAGAATGTTCCTCAATTAGATTTATTAAACCCATTTTCCATTATTTTTCAAACCCCTTAAAAGAAAATATTTGCCACTTGTCCATTCACAGAGTTTTCTACTATTATAACAAAGCACATTGTTAAGCTCCCTATTTCCAGTTTTTTTATTTCAGGCACTGATCAAAAGGATTGCCTTGGATTAGGAAATTCCCTGTTAAAGTTATTTTTCAACCATGGAAGTTTTCTGGGATTATTTGAATCAGTCTCAAACTCTCACTCACTACTCGTATAGGATTGTGGTAGTGTCAGAAAATTGGTGGATGTGGTATGAATGGCACTTTGAACTTCTAGTAGAAAAACAATGTAAATCTAGCGAATATATAACAATAAATTGCTGTATCTTTTATTTGGAAATCTTGAGAGTAGATATTTCCTTCTGCTGCAATATGTGTGTAGATGTGTGTATTTTATGGGATAGACAGATGGGAATGTTTTTCTCAGATGCTCTAGTAACTATTTGGCAAAAAAAACATAATAAACTTTAAATCGAATACATAAATAATAGATTCCTAAACATGTTTTAATCAAATATATAATTAAACAGAAGAAAAAAAATCTTTACTTACAGCATAACTCTTGACATTCATTGGGTGGTATTACACATGTTAATGACATTGGAAGTTTTTTAAAACAAATTGAATTTAGACATTGGCAGAATGAATTAATAAATCCCCTTTTTCAAAAATCAGAAGGAAAGTCATAGTTTGATTTTAAAAAGCAATCTCCCATCAAATACAAACCTCTATTCCACCCAGGGGAGTTTGACCACAAAATGAGATGCAGCCTCTTACAACTATGAACTCTGATATCTCAGTACTTCTTTTAGCAATGTGGAACAAGATTTTCAACAATAATAATTTAATATTTAAAATTGAAAAGACATTTAGAAATATTCTAGATATCCTTTTCTTTTATAGATGTACAGACAGTTTTGAAATGACTTAACTGATACTAATTTTCCTACTATTGATCTAATTTTCATGTAGTGAAACAGCTATCTGCAATTTAAGATGATCTTCTGAATGTTTATTTCCTGTTATTTTTCTGCTATTTTTTTCCTGTAGAACAAAATAACACTGATGTTGGTTTGTTTCCTGAAGCATGTTTCATCACTTGGGATTTTCTTTATCTTCTCCAATTTAAAAAAATTCCACTCTCTATTCCAGGGGTCTCCAATTTTGGCCACTTTAAGCCTTGTGGACTTCAAATCCTAACTCTAGGAGTTGGTTCATAAGCTTAAAGTGGCCAAAGTTGGAGACTCCTGTTCTTTTCTGCCTACCACAGCAAGGAGGAACAGCTGAAAACTGAGTTAGTAAAACCCAGATCACTAATATGGGGTGGAAAATTCAAGTCTATTGGAGAATAAAAAGGGAATAGGATGCAAACAACCTCAAGAAATCCATAGGTACCTAATTGAGGTCCAATAGAATAAGGGGCACAATGAAACCATGGAAACCAGAGGCATCTGTGAGGAGAGTGCAAACAAGCAAGTCAATAGTTCATTGCTATAATCCAAGCCATATATCTTTTGGGGGTGCTTTTGTTGCCTGAGTAGTGTTCTGATCCAAACTTTTTTCCAATAAAACAAACACTAACCAAAGAGAACAGAAACTTTTTAATGAGTTTTACGAATCCCCAGTTAAAAGGCTGCTGCAAACTAATTAACTTTGATAAGCACAAACCTTGCCAAAACTGTGTGAGACTTCCAAGAATCACAGATAAAAAATATTTCACAACACAAGAGTCTTCAAATACCAACTAAGATAATGCAATGTCCAGGAGGCTGGAGTTTCAAAACGTTTTTGCTTCCTACAAAGGATGTCTGATTCACAGCTGACTTCTATTTTCTTGAAGGAGGAACCATTATTTTGCAGCCTTACTCCTGAGTCACCTGTGCTGCTGCAGCTGTTCTTTCCTACCAGCAGCCCTGTGTGCACATGCACTTGGCACAGGCTCCTTTGGAATCCCATCACTGCTGTCAGCCCCCACAATCTCTGAAGGCAGCAGTCCACTCCCTAACACTTCTGGCGCATCATCTGAGTCCTCGCTCTCCTCAGCCATCTGCACTTGCTGCTGGCTAACCACAACAAGTAGATTGCAAATACAAATCTAAATAAAGGTTTATAGAATGAGCTATAAGCCCATAGAGAACTATAAAATACCTATAGTAAAATAAGTAATTCAGTAAGTTCACAGAAATCAATAAGAAAACCTAGAAGAAGAAAGGCAGAAAATAAGATTTGGAAAGAGAATTTATATAGATACATGTTATGTCTCACCTTTCCAATGAGGATGGAAAGTCCACAACTCTGACAAAATACAGGCAGGCAAGAAGATTCAGCAACTATAGAGTTAATTCTTTGAAGCAGGCAGTGCTCTTGGCAGTATCACGCGCGCTGCCTGCCAAGTCCGACAAGATAACAGAACCATAAATCACAAAGGCCCCCAATAAACAGAATACACCAAAGCTCCACAGAAAAACTCACACTTTGTCCCGTACAGAGCTCTCAGAGAAAACACACCCACTTTTATCCCCTGTGGGGTGTGTCAGTCACTCAGCTCAGTCTCTGATTTGTCCCCGCTTCCTGCGTTGCAGCTCACAACGTTGTCCTGCAATGTTGTCTAGCATAAAGCCAGCATTCGTCTACTTGATTCTCTGTCAGAGGCTGCTCTGATATGCCCTCCTCCTTCTCCTGATTAGCCTCAGGCTTTCCCTCTCAGTTATCTGCCGACACCTGAGGCACAATCAGAGAGGAAGGGATTGCCGAAGAGGAAGGTCCTGGGGAGGAAGGCATTCCCAATTCCTCCTCTTCCCCATCGTCCGAGTCCTCTTCCTCCAACAATGCAGGCTCAAGCCTCAGAGCCACAACACTATCCCTCACCGCAGGGCCCTTCCCCTGAGTCTGACAATCAGGACATGGTTTCAAAGGGAACTGAGCATGGAAGCTCAGTATAAGGTCCGGGGCGTGAAACGTGGAAGCATCCACCCAGGAAAGGGCCTTTGGTCCATCCCCCAGCCTCTCGATGAAATATTGAAACCGTCCTTTCAGCCAGCAGGAGTCCCGAATGCTGACCACTGTGTTGTCAGCAGCGGTATCATCGTTGGGTACAGATGGAGGAACCGCAGCAGCGGGTAAATGGAGAGCACACGAAGGGGTGCCAGGAACCAGAAGAGAATGGTGGAAGACAGGATGAATGTGCATGGAGTGCGGTAGGGTGAGCCGATAAGCTATGGGATTAATGACCACCTCGATAGGGAAGGGACCGATGAATCTATGGTCCAGCTTCTTGATCGGGCGGTCGACCCTTGGATGTTTCATGGACAACCACACCCTGTCTCCCACAGCCAGTGGGGACATTGCCCGGTGAGAGTGATTCACGAACCTTTTATA